CCACTCACCTCAGCCTCCCAAAGGCGCGAGATTACAGGCTGAGCCACCGAGCCCGACTTGTTTTTATTTTTTCTATTTTTTATTTTTGAGTTGGAGTCTCACTGTCACCCAGGCTGGAGTGCAGCGGGGATGCTCATGGCCACAGCAACCTCAACCTGCTGGGCTCAGGTGATCCTTCTGCCTCAGCCTTCCAAGTAGCCGGAACTACAGGCACGCGCCACTATGCCCGGCTAATTTTTGATTTAGAGACGAAGTTTCGCCAAGTTGCCCAGGCTGGTCTTGAACCCGCAGGCTTAGGAATCCTCTCACCTCGGCTTCCCAAAGTGCTGGGATTGTAGGAGTGAGCCACCACGCCAGGCCTGCGGGATGCTGTTGAAAATAGAATGGTCGCCTGTCCCAGTGCCTCACGCCTGTAATCCCAGCATTTTGGGAGGTGGACGCGAGAGGATTGGTTGACCTTAAGGTTCGAGACCAGCCTGAGCAACACGGCGAGACCTTGTCTCTACAACATATAACAAAAATTAGCCGGGCGTGGTGGCGCGTGCCTGTGGTTCCAGCTACTTGGAAGGCTGAGGCGGAAGGATCGCCGGAGCTCGGCAGGTCGAGGCTGCGGTGGCCGGGAGCAGCCACTGCATTCCAGTCTGGGCAACAGAGTGATACTCCAACTCAAAAAACAAAACAAAACAAAACAATTTAATCAGCTGGGCATGGTGGCCCATGCCTGTAATCCCAGCACTTTGGGAGGTAGAGGCAAGAGGATTGCCTGAACCCACAGGTTCGAGACCAGCCTGGGCAACATGGCAAGAACTCGTCTCTACAATAAATCAAAAAATTAGCTGGGTGTGTTGGTGTGTACCTGTAGTTCCAGCTACTTGAAAGGTTAAGGTGGAAGGATTCAGCCTGGGTGACAGAGTGAGACTCCAACTCAAAAAAAATAAAATACTATTTAAGCAGTGATCTACTGGAACTATACATTTTGGGTGTTTTCCATTTTACTATTACAACCAGTGTTGTCAGGAGCATCTTGTACATACATATTTGAACAGTCCTATGAATACATGGACAGGATACATTCCTGAAAGAGGAACTGATAGTTTAAAAAAAAAAAAGGTGTGTTTACAATTGCAATTGTTATTTCCAAGTTGCTTTCCAAAAAGGATGACCAGTGTATGAAGAATTCCTATTTCCTTACATCCTTGCAAGCAATAGATATTATCATTTTTCTTACTTGTGTCCATTCAAAGGGTGAAAATACTATCTATAAAGTGCCTTAACTTTTCTTATTTACTGAAAGGAGCTCTTTACATATGATGGATAGTAATCATTGTTTGCAATAAGCATTATGAAATAAACAGAGGTTTGAAGACAGAAGGAAACCTGAGCCCAGAGATTTCCCAGAATGGGTAGGACCTGGCTCTTACCTGACTCAGGTCCTCTGGATTCACAAAGATATTCTCAGCTGACACATTTCCATGAACATACTCATTCTCATGAAGGAACTCGAGGGCATCCAGCTGGGGGAGTAACAATGCAAGTATTTCCATGACTGGCATGACTACCACAAAGAGGCTCTGATGCAGAGCCGGGTGAGCGAGCCCTCAATGTTAGGCCTGGTCATCCGGCACTGTCTGTGACTGGAGTGTTAAGCCTGACGAATTCTGAAGCCCATGGTGACAGTACACCTAAGCCCGCCTCTTATCAGGTTTCTAGAAAACTCCGTGGTTGAGCTAACATATGGCTTTTCATCCACCTCCTGTGTCCACCTCTTAGCTGACTGCAAGCTCAGGAGAGGGGGAAGAGGTTGCTTGTTGCCCCTTTGCAAAATCCCCCCGCACCCACATAAACCAAAGAGCGCTTATTGTTGCTCTTAGAGAGCAGAAATAAGTGTGTCATTACGCAGTTTGTATCTTTATCTCTAGCTCCAACTCTTCCACTGAGCCCAACTCTCATGGCATGCCTGGCTGCTAGCAACATCCTAATTATACCCCACCCTCTCCCTGACCCCAGGGCTTAATTGCCCCCAAGTTCTGTTCATTCTGCTTCTACAAACTCTGTCCCCACAGCCTGGGGCCTCATCCTCAGGCCTCATCTCCTCCCACATGGACCCCCACTCGGCCTCCATTCTCCCCACTCCAATCCGTTCCCACAGGGCCCCTGATGCTCTTCCTATACCCAGAGCTGACCCGCCCTCCTCGCCTCCCAATCATCCCATGGCACCCAAGCACCCTCAGGACAGAGTCTCAGACCCTCAGCCTGATGTTTGAGGCCTTGTGTGATCTGGTCACTGCTTAACTTTCCTCATCAACTTTGTCTCTTAACCCTCTCCCCATCCCACGACATACTGCAGATTCTCTTGGACATACAGACCTTCGGAAATCAACTAACTTGCCACTTGCTTGGCACATCCAGCCCTCCAGCAATTTATGTATTTATTTTATTATTCTTCTTTATTTTTTAAGTCAATGGTCTTGCTTTGTCACCCAGGCATGATCACGGCTCATTGCAGCCTTGACCTCCTGGGCTCAGACGATCCTTCCACCTTAGCCTCCCAAATAGCTGGGACTACAGGCATATGTCACCATGCCTGGCTAATTTGTTGATTTTTTTATAGAGATGATGTCTCACTATGTTGCCCAGGTTGTTCTCAAACTCTTGGGTTCTGACAACCCTCCCACCTCTGCCTCCTAAAGTGCTGGGATTACAGGTGTGAGCCACCACGCCTGGTCCATGAGCAATTTAACTGGGATCCTCTTATCCTCCATTGGAGCAGGGGTCACTTCAGTTCAGAGCACATGTCACCATCAGTGCAGCTGTCTGATTTAACAGTGCCCACTCCCTCTAGACTGTGAGCTCCGAGACACAGGCCCTGTCTGCTGCTCCCTCCTCTATCCCAGCCCCTGGGACAGCGTCTGGCACCAGCAGGTACCTGATAAATATTTACAAGAGGATGGATAAGTGAATAAATGAATGAATGAACAAATGCCTTACTCTCTCCCCACCCCACACAAGCCTTTGCCCAGCCATATCCATGGCCTAGAACATTCTCTCTCATGTATCTCCACCCCTACACCACGCAGCACTTGCTATTTTCCACTTGCCCTGCGCATCTTGGCTTAGAAACAACTCCTCCAGGAAGCCCAGCCTCAGCCCTCACTTTGAGGCCCCACGAGAGCCCTCCCACCTGTGGGATACACATCACCTGGGCTTTGACAGCCTGCCTGCATCAGTCAGTGTGGCTGCCCCCGGAGTCTCCTAGGGTCTGACATGTCCTCCCCACGCAGGGGGGGCACTTCTGGGTACTCACCAGCCGGCAGGCCACCTGGAGCACAGATCTCTCCGACATCACATGCTTCGGGGTGTCGTCCAGGGCCGACTGAAGACTCCTCCCCAGGCTGGGGAGCACCAGGAACCTGGAAGACATGATGAAAACCCCGGGGGGGGGGGGCTGGGAGACAAACAGGGGAGTGGGGAGAAGGGCTCTGATGGGTGGGCACCAGCCTGGCTCAAAATGGGGGGAAGCAAGGAGGCAACTAACTGGCCCATGACTCCGGGGTCCCGGCCCCACCCGGCACATGGTAGGGAGGGGCAGAAAGGGGCAGGGACAGGTAGTGAGTGAGGGCTCACCTGTACTTGTCCTGGTGGACACCAAAGCCCACACAGGTGGGGATGGCCAGCAGGGGGGTTGAGTACAATTTCTTCCACTTGTTCACTGTGGGAGGCAGGGGCTGGAGGTTAGAGCCTGCCCAGTCCCAGGGCTGCAGCAACAATAGCCCATTCTCAGATCAGGACACAGTGTGCAGATCTGCCCCTGGCTTTTGCCAGTTTCTCTGTTGTAAACAACCTCCACCACGGCCAGCTTCAAGCCACCAATATGACGTGGCTGAATGTGAGACATAGGGCAGCCACCGCCATGCGGTCTTTCCACCACAGAGATGTAGTAGGTGTCACTTAGCTCAAGAGCAGGTCACAGAAAATGCAGAAAAGTCATCAGGAACTGGTGAGTTTCTGAGTGTTCATTGCCTTTGCTTTGAATAGGATTCACTTGATTTTAAGTTTATATAATTTAATCTTGCAAACAATGGCTGTGCAACAACCTGCTTGCCACATCCTGGATAAATATTTATATATTTTTTAAGGTTAGAAAAAATATATAGTTTACTTACAAAGCAAATGAGAGAGAGAGAGAGAGAGAGAGAGGAGATTCACCTCCCCAAGGAAGGGGAGGGTGCTAAAGCCAGGAAACATGGCAACCGTAGCTCAAGGAGCCATTGCTGAACAAAGCAGTGGCCTATACCTGGCTTCCTAGGCTGGCATGAGCCAGCACCGGTCATATGCTGTCTGCCCTCTGAGGCCTGAAGTCCAACGGACATCTGGGCCTTCAACCTAATTCCACCCTTCCTATACCTGCGGGAAAAACCCCGTTGCTGTGACCACGCTGGCGCCCCAACTCTCTCCCTAACCCCTCCCCTGAGGGATACCTTGCAGAAGCTTGGCAGCCCGCTGGAAGAAGTTCTGCTCATTGAACAAGCGCCCATCCTTGGCATCCTGGTGGGGACAGGAGGAACAGGAGGCTGTCACATTGACGTCTCTTAGACAAGGGACCCCAATCCCCACTGGCCATTTGTTACCCCAGGGTCACACCAGCAATAACCAGGTTTCTCACCACGACCTCTATCAGAACCAAATTCCCAGGGTGCTGCACACAGACACATATCAGGGTCGGCGAGCTCCCTCCCAGTACCCGGGTTCTTTTTCTTTCTTTCAGGACAGGACCAACAAGCCTTGCCCAAAATGTGGCCTTCAGCTAAAAACTACATCTCTCAGCTTCCTTTGCAGTGAGGAATGACCACACGACCACATCCTGGCCAAGGGGATGTAAGCAGAGAAATGCATGCAACTTCGGGGGTCATGCCCTTAAAAGGCAGGGACAGAGCCAGGCTCGGTGGCTCAGCCTGTAATCCCACGCCTTTGGGAGGCTGAGGTGAGTGGATTGCCTGGGCCCGCGGGTTTGAGACCTGCCTGGGCAACTTGGCAAGACTTCATCTCTACAATAAATCAAAAAATCAGCTGGCATGGTAGCGTGTGCCTGTAGTTCCAGCTACTCGGAAGGCTGAGGCGGAAGGATTGCCGAAGCACAGTGGGTCGAGGCTGCAGTGGCTGGGAGCGGCCACTGCACTCCAGTCTGGGTGACAGAGTGAGACTCCAACTCAAAAAAAAAAAAAAAAAAGGGGCAGGGATAGGCTCTCCCTTTCCTCCTCTGCTCCAGTTGGTTGGAACACAGATGTGATGGTGTGGCTGAAGCAGCCATCTCAGCTCAGGAGATGGATGTTATGAGTTGAGGATGTTGGAGAAACCAGAGAGAAAGCAACTGGGCCTAGCGCCCTGGCTCGGGCCTATAATCCCAGCACTTTGGGAGGCCAAGGTGGGAGGATAGCTTGGGGCCAGGAGTTTGGACCAGTCTAGGCAGTAAAGCAAGACCCTGTCTCTACAAAAAATAGAAAAATTAGTCAGGCGTGGTGGCACACACCCATAGTCCCTGCCATTTGGGAGGCTGAGGCAGGAGGATTGCTTGAGCCCAGGAATTCAAAGATGCAGTCAACCATGATCATGCCACTGGATGCCCTGCTGGGCAAGAGTGAAACCCTGTCTCAAAAAAACAACAACAAAAAAAGATCTTGCTTAAATCATTATTAATATTGTCTGTTAAAAAGAAAAAAAAGAGCAGTCAAACCAAGTATTTTCATTAAACACAACTAATGCAGCTGGGTTCTTTTTTTTTTTTTGAGTCAGAGTCTCACTGTCACCCAGGCTAGGGCACAGTGGCACACTCATGGCCACCGCAGCCTCTACTTGCTGGACTCAGGCCCTTCTGCCTCAGCTTTCCAAGTAGCTGGAACTACAGGCATGTGCGACCACACCTGGCTAATTTTTTGATTATTGTAGAGACGAGGTCTCACCAAGTTGCCCAGGCTGGTCTTGAACCCCTGGACTCGGGCAATCCTCTCACTTCGGCCTCCCAAAGTGCTGGGATGACAGGCTTGAGCCACCACACCCGGCCCGCAGCTGGGTTCTTGAGAGCAGTGTGAAAGAGAGCAAGGTTCAGGTCCCAGCTGTGCCATTCACCCATTCCTTCTACAAAGCCTCTCTTATGTGTGAAGCATTGTCCTGGGCACTGGGGACACAACGGTGGACAAGGCCACATGTGTGCTGGGTGCTCCTGGGAAGTGACTGGGTCTCCATTTCCTCATCTGTTAAGTGGGAACATAGTGGTCACCCCTCAGGCCTGTTCACAGAATTCAATGACACAGCGCCTATGAAACTGCCCAGGGACTGTCACACATGGGCTCTCAACAAGCAGGTGCTGCTGGCTACTCGTGTACCTGGCTGCCTGCCCCCACCCTCCCCTTGTCCTCTTTCCCTGTTTGCTCCCTGATGTCCTCCCATGAAGCTGTGAAGCTCCCAGAAAGTGCTGGGGGAATGCCAGTGGGTGTGAGCACAGCTGTCTGGTCCTGATCATGTGGTGTGTTCATGCCTGTGCCCCACCCCCAAGGGGCTGCTCCATAGGGCAGGATTCAGTCTGCCTGTCTCTGCAGGTGTCCCCAGCACCCAGTTCACAGTAGCTGCAGCCAAGGCCTGGTGAACTAATGATGAATGAACAAATAAATGAACACTACAGGGCACGAAGCACCTGCCCTTTCAACTACATCAGCACAGAACTGCCTTGCCCGTGGATGGGGAGGCTCTGTCCTCTGGTCTGCCTGGTGCCCCGTGCCCCCTCCCTTTGGGAGTCTGACATGGCATCTCCCCTGCCAGGCCAGGAGCTCATCCAGGGCTGGGCCTGGGCCGACACACAGCCCGGCGCCACCCAGTTCTGAGCCTCAGGAACTGTGGACCGATCAGATGATGGACAGAGAGCGAGGCCTCCCTTCTGTCCCCTAGGGAGGGTGGTGACAGCAAGCACAGTAAAAACAACAGAACAGCTCACATGAGGGGTGCCTGCTGGGCTGGGCACCCCCTGAATCGTGTAGTTGAATGGGGACAGGGGTGCCACGCTGTTGAGAGGACTCAATGGTGCAGTACTCATGAACTGCCGAGCCGGGATGCGCACACGGCAGGCTCTTGGTAGGGGCAGGTGCTACCTGTCACGAGTGAGCCTAGCTCTGACCTAAACTCTGAGCCACTCACGTGGCCTCCTTTAGGGATGAGGCAGGACACCTGGCCCAGCTGTCCCCGGTTTTCAGGGGTGTGAGACAGTTTGAATAAAAGAAAACAAGTCACCCATAATCGCAGCACCCAGGGATGAGAATGAAACCAAAACCACGATGATGCCTGTTTGTTGGACACATCTCTGAGCCAAAGGGTGTGACACCCTCATGGCTGCTGTCACTTTCTCCATCTGATTTTCTTGTTGGCGTGTACACTTCCTATCTGCTGGGCCTTGTGCTGAGCCCTTGATGTGTATCACTTCCTTGAATCCTCAGTGCAGGGACCTCATCTGATTGATTTTCTGTTGGACTCCAACACCCACCACGGTGATATACAGTAGGCACTCAATAAATACATGCTATGAGTAGTGGGAAGTGGGGCCTCATGATGTGAGCATTAGTGGCTCTACTTCACAAATGAGGAAACTGAGCTTTGAGAGGGGTGAGCTTGCCTGGGGCACACAGCCAGGAAGCTTCAGGACTCGGGGTGACTGACTACAGGTTCTGAACACCCTGGGGTGATGGATTGGAAGCCTGTCCCGCCCAAGTTCTCATGGCTCCTTGCAGGCCAGGGACCCGGGGCCCCAGGTTGACCACTCCCAGTTTACAGAGGGTCTCAGAAGTAAAGGGTGTATCTGCCAAAGCATGAGGCCCTCCCCTCTGAGCTGCCCCATGCCCCTCAGGGCCACTTACCAGTTTGAGTGAGAACTTCTGTTTCTGGGGACCTGACTCACAGGCGAGGGCAGAGGTGGGCTCAGCTGCAGAGGAACAAAACAAGCGCGTGAAGTCACATCCTGCAGGGAGGCCAGGGCCATCGACCTCCACCTTCCCAGCAGTGAGAAGCAGTTTCAGCACCGGGTTCTCACAGGGCAGGTGCATTCCTGGCTCTCAAGACCTGCTCCTTCCTATTTGCAAACAGGTTCTTTTCATCATTCTCTTCTGTCACTGACCAGCTGTGTAGGTCAGTGTAGCTGTGTAGATACTCCCCCTGGCGAGGCCTGGGAACCTGGATTCTGGAAGGGTACCCAGCATTCCCTAACTGCTGAGAGGGGTTTACTGGTCCTCAACATTTTGCATGAACACCGTGGTTTACGCAGAATGCCTGCTTTCCTCCTGGGAGCCTGGGATATGGACATGTGTTAGGCAGAGGGGCCGCGTGACCAGCCCACAGCAACAGCCCTGGCCCTGAGCCTCTGTCGAGCCTTCCTGGTGGACAGTTCCTGGGTACTGTCACAACTTGTGTCCTGTGCAGAGCAGCCTTGTCCAAGGCCACATCCAAGGGCGATGCATAGCCCATGACTGACTGAGGGGACACACAGGCCCAGCCATCCTGGCCCAACACTGACCCAGGCTGAAGGGCCACTTTTACTCCTACATTCTTCCACAGGGTCAGCAGAGGCCACTGGACTCTGCCTCTCCCTCTGCCCGCCCTTTCCTTCCCTCCCCTCCTCAGTTTCTCCCCGTAAACACCCACATGCCTGTGCCACTGCAGAGCTGCCTGCTGGCACCCACCGTCTAATTACAGACCCACCACGTCTCCCTGTGCTAAGTATGGGCTTTACCCGCATGGTACCATTTGACAGATGAGAAGATGAGAAAGCCAAAATTTAAGAGACGCCAGGAAATGCCAGGCTGACTTGGGTCCAAATCCCAGCTCCTCCATCCATGCTGTGTGTTTGGGGAGGTGCTAAATGTCTCTGGGACTCTGTTTCCAAGACTGTGAGACAGGAGTGATGCAGCCTACCCTGAGCCTGGCTGCAAGGATTCAACAGGTTGGAGGAGTTACCATGGCACCAGCCAAGCATGCTGCAGGAGCCTGAGTCACCCTGAATGTGTGCTGTTCGATTAATCAAGTCACAGCCCTGAGCCCAGCAAAGAGCCTGGAGCTCAGGGTCCCTCAACACTTTAAAATACCCCCATTAGGCCGGGCTCGGTGGCTCAGCCTGTAATCCCAGCACTTTGAGAGGCCGAGGCGAGAGGACTGCTTGAGCCCGCGGGCTCGAGACCCACCCAGGCAACTTGGTGAGACCTTGTCTCTATAATAAATCAAAAACCAGCCGGGCGTGGTAGCACATGCCTGTAGTTCCAGCTACTTGGAAGGCTGAGGCGGAAGGATCGCTGGAGCCCAGCGGGTCAAGGCTGTGGTGGTCGGGAGTGTGCCACTGCACTCCAGCCTGGGTGACAGCATAAGACTCCAACTCAAAAAAAAATAAAAAAATAAAAAAAACAGATAAATAAATAAAATACCCCCATTAATGCCAGGGTCCCCCAGCAAGCAAGGCAGAACTGACCCGGCCCAGGTCTGGCTCATTCCAAACCCCTGAGCTGAGCCACCATCACTGGCCACCCTGACCCATCTCTGTGCCCATCCTTCCTTGGCTCTCATCGTCCCCACCCGCCTGTCATTGAGGCTGGAATTGTCTAAGATGCTGAGCGAAGGAGGCAACAGTCACCCAGAAACCGTCCTTGCCTTCAAGACACTCTGGCTGGAGCAGGCTGGAACCCAGCAATGCACATCAAAGCCGAGTGTGCTCTGAGCTAGCCAGAAAGAGGGAAACGTGCTGGACTGGGTCTTGGGGAAGAAGGAATCCCTCCTAACTGTGGTGAGGGGCTTCAGGGTACCCTGGAGCTGGCTGTAAAATCCTGGCCAAGATCTGCCCCTCTCAGGAACCCCACATAATAACAGTGCTTGTCATGGAGTTATCCAAAGGCCAATGACAATGCGTATGTGCCTGGCCCACAGAGGTGGCAGGAAAGGCTGGTGATTCACCACGATTCCCTTGTATCGCTCTGTGGATTATAATGAGTTTATCTCTTCCCTGTTTCTAATTGGTCCTCTTGCCCACAGGCCGCAGAGCTAGCTGGGCAATTTTCATTGCAGAGAAAGCCAAGAAAGGCCAGACAGGGGCAAGGGGCTCAGCCAAGGGACCCAGCAGAGATGGGCCACAGCCCAGGACGCCAGGCTCTGTGGTCCTGCTTGACAAAAACCTGATGTATGGAAGCTTCCTACATGCACCTTAGGGAGATGAGGGTGTGGCAGGTGGGCAGGGGGCACCTCTGCTTGCCAAAAGATAGGCAGTATTGAACTTGGGACAAGAATGCTGTTCGGGGCCCACCGTAACCATAACAACAATGGGTGCACTTACACAGCACTTGCTGTTTTCCCAAGCATCTAACTCTCCCAATATCAGCCCTGTGAGGGCTGATATCTACTTTGCCGATGAGGAAACTGAGGCACAGGTCATAATGTCATTTGAGCAAGGTCAGACAACTAGTTGCTGCCAGAGGCTGGATACCAGCCCGCATGGTGGGATTCCAGGGTCCCCAGCTCCTTCCCACCTCCCCACGCCTTGCTGGGGACCCCGAGCAACCTCTCCCCAGAACCTCCAGAGGGAACCAGTTGTGACAACACCTAGACTTTCTACCAGCGATTTCAGACTCCTAACCTCCAGAAATGGAAGAGAACAAATATGTCTCATGTCAAACCCTAAGGTGTGGTCATTTGTCACAGCGACCACAGGAAACAGACAAACCTCAACCCCGGGAGCAGCGGTTGCAGAGGGCAGGCCTGGGCAAAACTCCCCAGGACCCTGAGGGAGCAGCTGCAGGATTCATGTGAGTGACAGTGGATGGCGGCTCTCCCATGCTGGGGGTGTGGCATTACAATTCAGTGTCTGATAGGTAAGAGTTAACAGGTGTAAAGTGCTTAGACCACGATGTGGGATAAAAGTGTCCATTCTAACACAATAACAATTCCAATTGTTGTTTTACCGTTACTGTTCTAAACTACAGGGCATAAAACCCCACCATCTCTTCTGGTCTGGCACACATGGCAGAAGATAAGGGCGATTTGCCTGTGGGGATGCCACCCGACTGTGCCACGTTCACAGATGTGAGCCCCGCTCCCCTCCCCACTGTGTGTGCCAGCATGGCACACAATAGGTGCTACATAAGGATCCGCAGAAGAAACAGGCTGCTCAGGTAGGTTGGGCCCTGGGAGTGGTTGGTTATTTTTATCAAACAACCTGAGTTAAAAGGTGAACTCCTCCTGTGCTTCCCACTGTGAGGACAAGCATGGCTTCGACCTTAGTGGCCTCTGCCCTTGGGTCTTCCTTCTCCCTCTTACTTCCTGGCCTCCTGGTCTCATCCCAACCCTGCTCTTGCTGTTGGTTTCCATCCCTCTCCCTGTCTCCTCCCTCTACCCCCATGTCTCTCATTTCCTGTTACCCGACTCCTTCTCTCTTCTTTTCTCGGGAGAAACCAGACTGCCTGGATTCAAGTCCCAGCTCAGCCCCCTCCAGGCTGTGCACCCTTGGGCAAGTGGCTTCCCCTCTCACACGCTGGCTGTAAGGTGGGGTAATATGTCTTGCCATGTGGCTGGGAGCACTATGCAGGTAAAGACATGGAGAGCTCTGAAAGTGCTGGTGTGGGGAGAGTGCACCCCAGGTGTCAGCTCACACCCTCTTTCTCTCGCTCATGCTCTGTCCTGTTCTCTCTTCCTCCCCCGCCTCCCTGGTCTGGCCCTGCTGTCCCTCCATAATTAGTGCTGCCCACATCTGCCTGTGAAGGTCCCTCTGCAGTTTTCCAAGCTCTCTGCTTCCACCTCCTGTCTCACTTGGCGTTAACAGCCCCAGGACATGGGGGGTGGGTATCGCCTCTCATTTTCCAGCGGGTACATCGAGGCACAGCGTGCTCAAGCTGCTTGCCTGGGCTCATCCAGCATGTCGGAGCCAAGACAGGACTCAGCTTGGGGACTGTCTCAAACGCAGGCTGTCCTGCCCTCCTATCCAGACTTGAAGGTGGGGCGCCAACAGGAAGCCTGAGGCCCCAGGCTGTCTACATTCTTGTCTGGCCAGTGGGGCTTCCAAGCCAAAGTTTTCCTATGAGAATCCAGGTCTCTGGTTTTTCCCTGAAAATCTGGAAGATCCCTGGAGCGCAAGGCCTACCTAGTTATTAATATCTCTGAGATTCACTTTTCTCATCCATCCAGTGGGGGTCATGATAGTGCTGATGTCCTTAGGCTGTTGTGCATACAAAATAAGTCAGCAAATATAAAATAAATGTATGTCCATCTAAAAACCTCTACACAAGTATTAATAGCAGCACCATTCATAAAAGCCCAAAGTAGAAACAACCCAAGTGTCCATCAGCGGATAAACGGGTAAATGACATGGGACCTAGCCACACAAAGGAATATCATTCAGTCATAAAAAGGAATGAGGATACCAGGTGTGGTGACTCACGCCTGCAATCCCAGCACTTTGGGAGGCAGAGGCGAGAGGACTGTCTGTGTCCAGGGGTTCGAGATGAGCTGGGGCAACATGGCAAGACCTCGTGTCTACAATAAATCAGAAAATTAGCCAGGTGTGGTAGCACACACCTGTGGTTCCAGTTACTTGGAAGGCTGAGGCAGAAGGATTGCTTGAGTCCAGCAGGTTGAGGCTGCAGTGGCCGTGAGTGTGCCACTGCACTCCAGCCTAGGTGACAGAGTGAGATTCCGATTCAAAAAAAAAGAGAAAAAAAGAAATGAGGCACTGACACATGCTACAATGTGGAAGGACCTTGGACACACATTGAGTAAGAGAAGTCAGACACAAAAGGCCACATTGTGTATGATTCTGGTTTTTTTTTTTTTGGCAGTTGGGGGTCTTACTCTGTGGCCCAGGCTAGAGGGCAGTGGCACCATCATGGCTCAGCGTAGCCTCAACCTCCTGGGCTCAGGTGATCTTCTTTCTTCGGCCGAGTAGCTGGAACTACAGGCATGTACCACCATGCCCGGCTAATTTTTTAATTTTTTTGTAGGGATGAGGTCTTACTATGTTGCCTAGGCTGGTCTCAAACTTCTGGGCTCAAGCGATCCTCTTGTCTCAGCCTCTCAAAGTGTTGGGATTATAGGCATGAGCCACTGCACCCGGCCATGGTTCTATTTCTATGAAGTGCCCAGAAGAGGAAAATCCACACAAACAGAAAGTCAGTTAGTGGTTGACAGAGGATGGTAAGACAGGGGAATGGGAATGACTGCTAAAAGGTACTGGGTTTCTTTCTGGGGTGATGGAAATATTCTGGAATTAGTGGTGACAATTGCAAAAACTGTTAATATACTAAAAGCCACTCAACTGTATACTTAAAAAGAGTGAATTATAGTCAGGTGCAGTGGCTCACGACTGTAACCCCAGCACTTTGGGAGGCCAAAGTGAGAGGACTGCCTGAGCCCAGGGGTTCGGGACCAGCTTGGGCAACTTATCGAGACCTTGTCTCCACAATACATCAAAAAATTAGCCGGTGTGGTGGTGTGCACCTGGAGTCCCCGCTACTTGAAAGGCTGGGGCAAAGGATTGCCAGAGCCCAGCAGGTCAAGGCTACGGTGGCTGGGATGGTACCACTGCACTCTAGCCTGGGCAACAGAGAACCCAACTCAGAAAAAAAAAGAGTGATTTTTATGTTATATGAATTATATCTCAATTACAAAACTGTAAAAGAAAAACTTAGAACAGGACCTGGCCTTGCACAAGCACTCAATAAATATTAGGAATTATTAATACTAATACTACTGCCATGGTTGTTATTTTCCTTCTGCAATAAAGAGTCTGACTCCATCGTTAGAGGTCTAACTACACACGGCTTTTTTTTTTTTTGAGTTGGAGTCTCACTCTGTTGCCCAGACTGGAGTGCAGTGGCTGCTCCCGGCCACTGCAGCCTCGACCCACTGGGCTCCGGTGATCCTTCCGTCTCAGCCTCCCGAGTAGCTGGAATTACAGGCACGCACTACCATGCCTGGCTGATTTTTTTATTTATTGTAGAGATGAGGTCTCGCCAAGTTGCCCAGGCAGGTCTTGAACCCGCGGGCTCAGGCAATCCACTCACCTCCGCCTCCCAAGGCGCGGGATTACAGGCTGAGCCACCGAGCACGGTTTACTCATGGCTTTTAAGCTACACCCTCCCCCACCCCGTCCCTGCCATCCCACATCTGGGAAAGCTGATAAGAAAGTCTGGGTGCCCCTCCTTTGTTGTCTGCGGGAGGTTCAAAACAGGCTAGGCGATGACCCGTATGCGGGAGCCCTCACCTCAGTCCCACACCCGGCTACAATGACACACCCAGGCCAGTCTCCTCTCCTCAGTCTCTCAAGGAATGGCAGATCTGAGTGGGAGGCCGGGCCCTGCTCTGCACAGAGACCCCAGTCACGTAAGCAATAAATCCCTCAAAGCCTCTTGGTGTGGGTAACATCAGCAGTCTCAGCATGTGAACCAAATTTTGAGTGGGGGTTCATCCCACCAAACTGGCTGGCGGGAACAACTGGCCTTATCACATGACACTGGGCCTGCAGTCCCACCTGACAACAGCAGGTAGTAGTGAAGAGGAGCACACTCTTTACAGAGGCATGTGCTTTCCAATTGGCCACAGTACCTACCACTCCCATTCGCCTTACTTCTGGCCTGCTGTACTCATTCACACTACCTGCCCAGCCCCTGTAAGCGGGTGGGTTTATAGTCCTGGGACTAAGTGAAAGTTGTCTCGAGGCAGGTCTACAGCTAGGGATATGACTTTTGCTCCCCTTCTCAGAAAGGGCTCCCCCTCTCCCATCCTGGTGCTGAAATGGCCCAGCCCAGTATGTGCCCATCCAAGGACACAGCATACCTTCATAGAGAATGCCCTGGTCATCCCTGGTCTGGAGAGATACCAGCTTCCAGTGCTGCCCACTCTTGTCTGTCAGCACTGTCCCTGTAGGCAAAGCTTCAAGTGAGGTGGTCACCCGGCTCCGCTTCAGCGTCTGAGGGCTCTGTCTGGTCGTCTGAGGGCTGCACCTGGTCGTCTGAGGACTTTGTTTGGTCATCTGAGGACTTTGCCTGGTCGTTTGAGGGCTATGCTTGGTTGTCTGAGGGCTGCACCTGGTCACCTGAAGGCTGCTTTTGGGGGTTAGGGGTCTGTCCCAGAGTCCTGCAGGTGGATTATCAGAATAAAAAAAAAATGGCACCCAGGAGAAAAAAGTTAAATGGAGAATGAAATAACACTCGTAATACTGTCCCTTTATTCATCTATTCATTCAACAAACACTTCTGGGACCTTCCATGGGCCAGGTTCTTTATGATGATGCTGGGGTGCCAGACACGTGTCAGACCTGGACCCTTCCCTGGGAGTTGTCCAATTTGGTGGGGAAATCTGGCCTAGACGTAGCCCGTCGGGACCTACTCTGAGACACAGCAGTACACGGGGATATTAGGGCACAGAAGAAAAAGAGATTGTGCCCGGAAAAGTCAGGGGAGGCTTCCTGGACTAGGGGGCGCTAGAGTTAGGTCTTGTTGAATGAGCAGAGATTTGCCAGGGGGAAAAGGACATTCTAAACATTTTCCCAGAAACATCCTAAAAAAGAACATGGCCCTGTGCTGTGTTAGACTCAAGTTCTGCCCTTGCAGGGCTCCCAGACTGGCATGGGAGTGAGTGGGTGCAGCAGGACACAGACTGGAATATGGGAAAAGATAACTTCACCCGCCTCATTCCTCCCACCTGCCACTCCCTCAAGGCACATGATGGCAAGAGGCCTCTGGGACCCAGGGACAATCAGGAGTAAAAGGGGGGCCCCACACACTGTGGTTGAGGTTCTAGGGGCCCAGTGGGAAGGAGACAGGGGACACAGCCCTCCAGCTTCCTATTCCCAGGCACTTGCTGGGCAGGGGCATACAGACAAGTCATGTGTGGTCCCTGCCCACAGAGGACTCCTAGTCCAGAAAGGGGGCCGAAAGGGGCATGGAGCCTAGAGTGACACGTGTGCTTAAATGAGGGCAGCAGCAGGTACTGGGGGCACCAGACAAAGAGGGTGAAGAGCGACTCTGGTAGGAGACAAGGAGGCCTTGATGTCAGGCCACAACACCCAGGAAAGGCTTCCTAAAGATCAGCCCCTCTGAGTGTTAGAAAATGGGCAGCATGCCAGGCCAAGGAGGAGGAGAGAGTGCCCGGGACTGGAGGAGCAGAGTAATCAAGGACGAAGGTTGAAACCCACCCCCAAAGTGAGTTTTCTGTACATAGGGCTAGAGCTGAAGCAGGAACCAGACCTACAGACCCCAGGCTGAAGAGCTTGGCCTGTGGGTGACAGGAACAGTAGAAGACTGTGAGCAGGGAGGGGCTGGGTATGGAAAGACCCTTCTGGGGACATGCAGAGATGGGCTAGACTGGGAGATGGGAGGCTGGGGAAAACGTTGGACTGAGGATCCAGGCAGAGGTGGATGATATTTGATCTGGGGCTGTGGCAGCTTTGTCCCAAACATCGTTGGATGACCCGTCTTTGCCCCCACTAGTGTCAGAGAAGACTGACGCCAACTCTTACTTTTGGATCTCTCAGAGGAACTCAGAGTATCTTCAGATTCAGAATTGTCACCATCTGAGATGGATAATTGGGAACAGGTGACCGTGCTGGACCATTTCACCTTCTTGGGAGAGCTTTCAGAACTGGAGCTCAGCTCTTTCCTCGAGCCTAAAGAAAGCAGACTGAAGTTACAAAGGCCATCTCCAGGCACTATCAAACCAGAAACTCTGAGGTCATGTTCAGCTACGCTCTTCCCCTTGGTTCTCACAGCCTATTCTCACTTTTTCTATCACCTAAATATCTAAGCAAACTGCTCATTTCTTTTCGTTATTCTCTCTTCCATAGGCCTTAGCCTCTCTTTTACATCTACTGTCATTTTGTCTCCCTGCTCTCTTTCAGGTAATTTCTTCAGATCTAACCTCCAGTTAACTAATTCTCCCTTCAGCTATGTCTAGTCTGTTATTTAAACCACCCAGTGAGTTTCTGATTACAATGACCATAATATATAATTTTATCATTAGAGGTTTTATTTGTTTTTTCCTCAAATCCACCTGCTCAGTTCTAACTTTTATTCCTTCATTGTGTTTTCACTTTATTCTTCTATTTCTTTAAACATATTGAATGTTCCTTGTAAATATTCTCATCTGCTAATTCTAAGGTCTGTGATCTTTGCAGGTATGATTCTGTAGTTTGTTGTTTCTGCTGATCCTCATGCTGGCTTGTTTCCTGATATCTTTGCAATCAACAAAGACTAGGACTCATGTTTCTTGGATGTTTATCTGTGGGAAGTCTGAGGGCTTTTTTTTTTTTTTTTTTTGTGAAAAAGTCGCACTCTGCTGTCCAGGCTGGAATGCAGTGGCATAGTCATATCTCACTGTAACCTTAGTGTACCCCTGGGCTCAAAGGATCCTCCCTCCTCAGCCTCCTAAGTAGCTAAGACTACAGCTCACCACATGGGATAATTTTAAATAATTTTTTTGTAGAGATAGGGTTTTGTTATATTGTCCAGACTGGTCTCAAGCTCCTGGCCTCAAGCCATCCTCCCACCTTGGCCTCCTAAAGTGCTGGGATTATAGGTATGAGCCACTGCAACTGGCCTGAGGTCTGTCTTTAAAAGGTGTTTTCCAAGAGAAGATTTGTTTATGTAGGGTAGTGGGTGGTACCCATATCTCATCACTTAAATTAAATGTTCAGCTTATATTTTGGGAGACCATACAAAAAAGTGTGAATTCTGGCCCCAAATAGGTGAGAATGTGAATTCTTGATTAGGAATTTGCAAAGAAGACATTCCTCCTTTCATTCACCTATAACTAAGGCTGAGACAGACAAATGCCTCCATCGGTTTTTTCTGCAGAACAATTTTTTGGCCCTAGTTTACCCATTAAGGAGTCTCAGATTTAAGGGTGAAATGTCCTATTTTATTTCCTGCACTGCCCTGACCTGAAGCATTGTCTCCTATACTCTAATAAAACTCAGGCTCAAGGCCACCAGCAAATAGCACCTGGACAAATAACACCTAGAATGCTTGCCTGACTCTATGGACTTATGTTTTCTTATTGTTTCCAGCTTCCAAGGAATCCCCTTACTTTCCTACTGCTCAGCTCTACATTTTATTTATGTATTTATTTAGAAGTGGGTGTCACTTTGTCACCCAGGCTGGCATAATCATGGTTCACTGTTGCCTTGACCTCTTGGGTTCCAGTGATCCTAAGTAGTTGGGACTACAGGCACATGCCACCATGTCTAGTTAATTTTTTTTTCATAAAGATGGGGTCTTGCTGTGTTGCTCAGACTGGTCTCAAACTCCTGGGCTCAAGTGATCCTCTTGCCTTGGCCTCCCAAAGTGCTGGGATTACAGGCATGAACCACTGTGCCCAGCTATCCCTATTTCTTAAAAAGGCAATTTCAAATATTTTATTCAGTATACTTGAGTATGCTGAACTATAAGGGGTTTTTACCTCTCACCTGTCTGTCATATTGCTAAAAACAAAAGTCTTCTCCTTTTGGTTGATACTAACTCAGCAGCATTACTGGTTCCTGGGCTACTGGAATGGCCTCCTAGCAGGCTTCTGTGGTTCCAAATAATTATTCACACAGCAGCCAGAGAAGTCTTTTCAAAATGCAAAGCACATCAAACCACCTATTTGGCAGAAACTCTCCCACAGCTAGCACCAAACCCCTTTCCCATGACCAACACAGCCAGCATGTCAGCCCCAGTCATTATGCCCCTTATTCCTCCAACATGCCTGGCTCCCCCTACCTCAATGCCGCTCACCAATGCCTGGAACACATGCTCTGACCCCTTGCCTTGCCCCCACTTTTCACCTCGCTAATTCTTCATTCCTTGCTCAGCTCAAACACTGCCCACTTAGGGAGAGGATTTCCCTGCTTGCCTGGGAACATATCCCTTTAAATGTCTCATGATGCCTGTTATAATGCAGTCTACTGAGAACTGCTCACTCAATGTCTCTTCTGCCTACAGGCTGCATAAGCTCTGTGAGTCTAGGGCCTACGGTTGTCTCATCCTTACTACGTCTGCTGGGACCAATACAGCACTGCACACATGGCAGGCTGTTCATATACATCTGCTGGCTGATGACTGAAGGAACGAAGCACATCCTGGGCCCTAGGTGAGCATCAGAACCAAGACTCCGAGGTTGTTCAAGGCAACTGCTGCTTGTATCTGCCTGAAATGCAGTTTTGGAGATGGAGAAACAACACTGAAAACTCAGGAAAACAAGCACAGGAACAAGACCATCATTAGTCAGGCTGATGGCTGAGTGGAAAGACAGGAGTCCAGGTCCTTACTACATCATGGGGACACCATTCCAATACTGCCAATCCCCTCCAGACATTTTTGTTAGTCAGAAAAATAAGCCTATTCATTTGTTGAAAACTTTGTCATAATGTTTTCTGTTATTTGCAGCCCAGTGCAATCCCAAATGATAAAATGAACATTGCTGCAACTACCTGGTATATCTGCCAACTTCCTTCCATATCCTTCAGATGAGTAAAACCTCTTTGACTGACCAAGGTAGCATGTGGGTTTGGGCTTTCTATTGGTAAGGATCTGTTGCTAATATTTCATTCACTCATTCACCCTGTCAATAGGATTTCCCAGCACCCAGTACAGTCCCAGGTGCGATGCAAATGGCAGGTTACGAAACCACAATCAATGCAGGTTACAAAAACACAGTAAGTTTCTGTTCTTATGGGTCTTACAGATAAGCAGCTACATAAGTAAGTAAAATATAATATTAGTTGGGTGTGGTGGCTCACATCTGCAATTCCAGCACTTTGGGAGGCGGAGGTGAAAGAATTGCCTGAGCCCAGGGATTTGAGACCAGTCTGGGCAACTTGGTGAGACCTCATCTCCACAATAAATAAAAAAAAAATTAGCTGGACAAGGTGGTGCCTACAGGTCCAGCTACTTGGAAGGCTGAGGCAGAAGGAATGCCAAAGCACAGCAGATCAAGGCTGCAGTGGCTATAAGCCTGGGTGACACAGTGAGACTCCCATTCAACAACAAAAAAAGTAAAATCATGTAGCAAAGAAAGTTTTTTTTAAAAAAAGAGATGAGATTTTACTATGTTGCCCAGGCTGGTCTTGAAGTTCTGGTCTCAAGTAGTCCTCCCACCTTGGCATCCCAAAGTGCTGGGATTACTGGCATGAATCAAAATATTGCACCCAACCAAAATATTGCAACCAAAATATTGCATTCAATAGGGTTGATAAAAAGTACCTGGGCAGCGAGACCTCATTTCTACAATAAATCAAAAAATCAGCCGGGCGTAGTAGAGCACGCCTGTAGTTCCAGCTACTTGGAAGGCTGAGGCGGAAGGATCACTGGAGTCTAGCAGGTGGAGGCTGCGGTGGCCAGGAGCGGCCACTGCACTCCAGCCTGGGCGACAAGAGTGACTCCAACTCAAAAAAAAAAAGATACAGCTGGTTTGTAGTTATAGCATGTCAGGAACTTTAAAAATTTCCTCTTGTTTTGTCTATTTCTGAAACAGCTTTTCTTACATTCCTTGTTATAAAGAAGGGTTGGGTGCAAGTTTCTGGTTCATTTTTATACTGAAGATGTAGCCCTTTGAAGTCTCAGAGTTAAAAGAGAGAAGAGTTGCTACTCCAATCCTTACTGTGTACAGACTCTGGTGCTTTAAATCTGGCCTCCTTGGCCCCCTTTTATATTTGAAATGCCATTAAATCGGAAACTGCAGATATGGTTTCTTGTATTTGGAATATACCTTCTGGACAAAATGTCTTTGGAAGTCCTCTTTCTCTACTGCTTTTGTCTGTACTTTGATTTTTGCCTGATAATGCCTTATCATTTTGTCAACATTTTTATTTTTTCAGACGATTAAAAATATTTTCCCGGCCGGGCTCGGTGGCTCAGCTTGTAATCCTGCCCTTTGGGAGGCCGAGGTGAGTGAATTGCCTGAGCCCACGGGTTCGACCGTCTGGGCAACTTGGCGAGACCTCATCTCGACAATAAAAAAAAAAAAAAATTAGCCGGGCGTGGTAGCGCACGCCTGTAGTTCCGGCTACTTGGAAGGCTGAGGTGGAAGAATCGCCAGAGTCCAGCAGGTCGAGGCTGTGGTGGCCGGGAGCGGCCACTGCACTCCAGTCTGGGCGACAGAGTGAGACTCCAACTTAAAAAAAAAAAAAAAAAAGTACCAAAAGGAAATATATAGCAAGGAAGGGTGAAAGGAACAACGCATGTAAGGAAGGTGCGATTTCAATTAGGGAAGTCAGGAAAGGTGTCTCTAAGAAGGTAACAAATGGATGAACACCTGAAGGAAGCAAGGGAGTGGGGTGTGCAGGTAGATGGGGGAAGCAGCATCCAGACAGAGAGACAGCAGGTGCACAGGTGCTGAAGCCCAGGCACGCCTGAGGTTTTGGGGATAAGCAAGGAGGCTGGAACAGCATATGTAACAGCAAGAGGGCTATGAGGTAAGGTCTGAGAGGAAATGGGGACCTGCTCATAGAGGCCTAACATGGGAAGGTGTGAGCAGGGGAATGGCAAGTTCTGACTCTGTTTAACAGGATCCCTGTGGCTGCCACACGAAAAAGACCATGGAGCAAGAGGAGAAGCAGGAAGCCCGGGGAAGAAGGCTTCTGCAGCAGTATAGGAGAGAGGCGAGAGCCGAATGGCTGGGAGGTGAGAGGGGAGCTGGACATGGTTTGAAACTGCATTGATTTTAAAAGGAGAGACAGGCTGGGCATGGTGGCTCACACCTGTAATCCCAGCACTTTGGAAGGCTGAGGCGCGAGGATTGCCTAAGCGCAGGGGTTCAAGACAGGCCTGGGCAACTCGGTGAGACCTTGTCTCTACAATAAATAAAAAAATTAGCCAGGTGTGGTGACGTGTACCTGTACTCGGGAGGCTGAGTTATTTGGGAGGCTGAGACGGAAGGATCCCCTGAGCCCAGCAGGTTGAGACTGTGGTGGCCATAAGCGTGCCACTGCATTCGAGCCTGGGCAACAGAGTGAGACTTTGACTCAAAAAAAAAAAAAAAAAAAGAGAGCCAACACAATGGGCAGAAGGGTTGAATGTGTGTGGGGTGGGAGGGAAAGAGGACTCAAGGGTGACTCCCCAGGTTCTGGCCTGACCCCCAGGTTCCGGTCTGAGCAACTACATGAGTGGAGTGGCTATTCACTGAGATGGGGAAGTCTATGGAAGGACAGGTGGGGTGGCAGGCAGCCCCAAGTGTGTCAGTGTGGGGCATGTTCAGACTAAGATGTATACACAACATCCAATTTGGGTTAAGCATCCCTAATCCAGAAATTTGAAAGGCAAAATGGTCCAAAATCTGAAACTGTTGAGCACTGACATGATGCTCAAAGGAAATGTGCGCTGGAACATTTTGGAATTTTGGTTTGGGATATTCAACCAGTAAGTATAATGTAAATATTCCAAAATCTGCAACAACAAAAATCTTCTGGTCTCAAGTATTTTGGGAAAAGGACACTTAATCTACAGATGTCAAGCCAATCTCCAAGCAGGGGAGGAGTCAGGCTGGAGACAGCAATGAGGGAACTGCCAACATACAGACAGTGTTTAAAACTATGAGACCAGTAAGATGCCCAGGGACTGAGTGTATACAGAGCAGTCCTGGCCTGAGGCATGGGCTCCTCCAGGTTCAGGACAGAGTCAGAGAGGCTGCAAATGTGTCCCCCCTTCCTCAACACCCACACACCTGTGTACACCTGACCCCCTCTGTGGGATAAGCTCAAAGCTCTGCATCTTACCTCGAAAGGACGACATGCATGGCTTGGCAAAGATTGGGGACCCGGCATGTTCCTCTGTAGGCAAAGATTTTCCACAGTAGGGGCAGAATTTGAACGTTGCTTGGATACTTTTACCACAGTCTGGACAGAAGGAAATCATGCTACAAAAATGAAAGAACAAACACAAAGTGAAATGGGATGGCACGAGGTCAGTAACAGCCATGTCAGAGAACAGCTCTGATCACAGAGTAAGGGTGAGGAAGGAGGCACAGCCAGGGTCTTCACTGTGTTTGTGATGTTTGTTTCTTGAAAGATATGATGGGAATGGGAGAGACCATCAATATTCCCCAAATACCTCTATATTTCCCAGCTTCCCTTGCAGCTAGGCTGGGGCCATGTGACTAGTTCTGGCCAATGGGTGTGAGTGGAATCATCTCCTGGGAGGTAGTTAAGAGTCAGAGTACCTTCTCTGTCCCCCTTCATCTGTAAGACTGGCCCTGGAGATCACATCTCCCAGATAACATGGCAACAAGATGAAGGAAGGATGCCTGGTTCACACTGGAGCCTCACAATCAACAAATACACCAGATGTGGTGTCTCATGTCTATAATCCCAGCACTTTGGGAGGCTAAGGCAGGAGGATAATTTGAGGTCAGAAGTTTGAGACCATCAGCCTGGGCAGCATAGCAAGACCATGTATCCACACACACACAAAAATTAGCTGGGCATGGTGGTGTATACCTACAGTCCCAGCTACCTAGGAGGCTGAGGTGGGAGAATCACTGGAGCCCAGGCATTGGAGGCTGCAGTGAGCTGATTTCACCATTTCACCCCAGCCTGGGCAGCAATAAAACTAAACGAAAACAAAACAAAACAAAACAAAAAAAACAAATACACTTCTGTCATATTAAGCCACCAAGACATCAGGGCTTATTTGTCACTGTAGCACAGCCTGTCCTATCCTGACTAATTCAGTGGAACAATGAATTTTCACTATGTTATTCTCTCTGCATTGTGTACCTCAACTCTTTTCTAATTCTTTTAAAAACTTCAAATCACACATAGACCTATAAAAAATGAAGGTAGCCGGGCTCAGTGGCTCAGCCTGTAATCCCGCGCCTTTGGGAGGCTGAGGTGAGTGGATTGCCTGAGCCCGCGGGTTCGAGACCCGCCTGGGCAGGCGAGACCTCATCTCTACAATAAATCAAAAATTAGCCGGGCGTGGTAGCGTGTGCCTGTGGTTCCAGCTACTTGGAAGGCTGAGGCGGAAGGATCGCTGGAGCCCAGTAGGTCGAGGCTGCGGTGGCCGGGAGCGGCCACTGCACTCCAGTCTGGGCGACAGAGTGAGACTCCAACTCAAAAAACAACAACAAAAAAAAAAGAAAAAAGAAAAATGAAGGTATGACAAGGGCCAGGCCAGTTAAGTGAAGACAAGAACACCAACAAGGATGACAGTACCACAGGCACTCCAAAGGAACATCTTATAAACAGCAGCAACAAGAAAGTCCATTTGAGTTGTTCTTATATTCTAAGACTCAGTGTACAGTAGCAATGAAAAGCTAGAACATCAAAATAGAAGTAAAAATAAACACGTGCTCATGATTTCACTTCACCTTGAAAGAGAAAGTTCTGGTCAAACCCTTTTCCTTTATTCACTTTAATAGTTGACTCCTAGCCAGGCTCAGTGACTCAGCCTGTAATCCCAGCACTTTGGGACGCCGAGGTGAATGGATTTCCTGAGCTGGTGGGTTCGAGACCCACCTGGGTGAGACCTCATCTCTACAACAAATCAAAAATTAGCCAGGCATGGCAGCACATGCCTGTAATTCCAGCTACTTGGAAGGCTGAGGCAGAAGGATCACCGGAGCCAGCAGGTCGAAGCTGCGGTGACCAGGAGCATGCCACTGCACCCCAGTCTGGATGACAGACAAATATACCAGAGGTGGTGTCTCATGCCTATAATCCCAACATTTTGGGAGGCTAAGGCAGGAGGATAACTCAAAAAAAAAAAAAAAAAAAGATTGGTCTCAGTTGCAAACAGTGGGGCCCTTAAAATCACAGGTTTGGCTCCAGGTTGGCAGATCTGAATTCCAGACCTGCTATGTGCTAGGCAAGTGACCTAGTCTCGCTATGCTTCAGTCTGCTCAACTGTAAAATGGGGCTTCTCCCAATACCTATCTGACAATGGTTGTTGAGGCCCAAATGAATACATTTTTAGTAAGTGCTGAGAATAGGGCCTGGCCCACAGAAAGCCTTCTACGTTCACAGTTCCCACTATTGTATCATATCTCGCATGTCAGTGACCACATTCCATTTATTAATGTTTCTATTTTTCCCTTTCCTCTTCTGTATCATAAGTTCTGAGTTTCTTGGGTCTTTCCGTTTCCTCTTGGTGCTGACTTATCGAATTACAGAACTTGTCCTTGAAAACCACAGGCCATCCAAACAGCTAGAGAAAGAAATCTCAGTCAGAGAAGGAGAAAGGGGTTCCTCATTCCCTCGGGCTGCAGAAGACCAAAAACAGTGTCAACTGGCCTTCTGTTCTTTCAAACAAAGATGTCATGCAAGACACCAAAACTGTAAAGACTGTTGTCAAGTGTCTTTTATCTTCCAGAAGTCAGTAACTCTGACTGGTTGTCTAATTTAGCGATTTGCTGTCCTGCTAGACACGAAAACAGACATCTCTGTCTTCTGAAAGGCATAAATACCAGTGAGTATTTGTGGTAAGCCAGGGGACTTACTGCCTCTTCTCCCTTCTCCCTCAGGCAGTGACAAATCTAGAGCCTGTGTATCGACACTGGAGCAACAAGATCACAACTGTCCAGATTTTGTATTAGTGAGAAAGAACTCACACTGGTATTAAGCCACTGAGACTGGGGGATGTTTGTTACTGAGGTATAGCCTCACCTAGCCTGACTGATACACCTACAATCTGCAAGATTTCTTCTGTGACAAAAGGTTTGTTTGGAAATCGGTGGTGTTTTAAGTGCCTTCACATTAAGAAGAATTTCATCAGGTGCCAACTGCACTCAAAAATGCCTCAAAGTCGGAACAAGAACCAAACCAGTTGAGCCCTGCCACGCCCGCAACAACATTCCTCCCAGTAGTGAAGAAGCAACACAGAAGAGAAAGCAGGTGGTGGGGAAGGGGTCTTAGGTGCCATGCGCCCAAGGAATGGTACCTTTATGGGGTCACAGTCTGGCCCTTGGATTCACTGGGCTGGAAACTCCATCTTGACAGTAACCTGTAAATGAACAAAGATGGACAAGCTGCCTAACACCTCTTTCATGTGTAAATGAAAGATGGTGGCTAATGTTTACTGAACATGGGCCACATAGCTAGTATGTGCTGAATCCATTCAATCCTTCATTCATTTGTGCAATGAATATTTACTGAGCTCTCAGTCTGTGCGAATCCCTGGGGAGGCAGTAGCAAAGGAAACAAGCACAGCCCCTGACCTCAGGAAACTCACATTCTGGTGGGGAAAGACAAGTTAGCAAACAAATGAGAAGTGCCAGGCAGGTGGCTCACGCCTGTCATCCCAGCACCTTAGAAGGCCGAGGTGAGAAGACTGCTTGAGCCCAGGACCTCAAGACCAGGCTGGGCAATATGATGAGACCTCATCTCTATAATAAATTTAAAAAAGCCGGGCACAGTGGCTCACGCCTGTCATCCCAGCACTTTGGGAGGCAGAGGCAAGAGGATTACCTTAGTTCAAGGGTTCGAGACCAGCCTGGGCAACTTGGTGACCTTGTCGTTACAATAAATAAAAAATTAACCAGGTGTGGTGGCACTCACCTGTAGTTCTAGCTACTTGAAAGGCTGAGGTGGCTCGCCTGAACCCAGCAGGCTGAGGCTGCGGTGGCTGTGACCGTGCCACTGTACTCTAGCCTGAGTGACTGAGTGAGGCTCCAACTCAAAAAAAATTTTTTAAACAAAAAAAAGTTAGCCAGGCAGGGTGGTGCATGCCTGTAGTCCCAGCTACTTGGGAGGCTGAGGTGGAAGGATCACCTGAGCCCAACAGGTCAAGGCTGTGATCATGGCCACTGCACGCCAGCCTGGGTGATGGAATGAGACTACGACTCAAAAAACAAAGTTAAAAAAGTCAATTATCCACGCCTAGTTGGATTGCAGAGAAATAAAAACTAAATTAAAAAAAAAAGAGAGAGCTTTTCTGCGCTACCCGCAGAGGGGTCCTTACGGCGTTGTTCTCAATTCCCCTTGTAACTTAAAGGGAAACTTTCACATGTCCAGAGCCCTTAACGTCCTGCAAATGAAGGAAGAGGATGTCCTCAAATTCCTTGCAGCAGGCACCCATTTAGGTGGCACCAACCGTGACTTCCAAATGAAACAGTACATCTATAAAAGGAAGAGTGATGGCATCTACATTAGAAATCTGAAGAGGACCTGGGAGAAGCTTTGGCTTGCAGCTCGTGCCACTGTTGCCATTGAAAACCCTGCTGATGTCAGTGTCATATCTTCCAGGAATACTGGCCAGCAAGCTGTGCTGAAGTTTGCTGCTGCCACTGGAGCCACTCCTATTGCTGGCCGCTTCACTCCTGGAACCTTCACCAACCAGATCCAGGCAGCCTTCTGGGAGCCCCGTCTGCTGGTGGTTACTGATGCCAGGGCTGACCACCAGCCTCTCACAGAGGCATCTTATGTTAACCTGCCCACCATTGCTCTGTGTAACACAGACTCTCCTCTGCACTATGTGGACATTGCTATCCTGTGCAACAATAAGGGAGCTCACTCAGTGGGTCTGATGTGGTGGATGCTGGCTCGGGAAGTTCTGTGCATGTGTGGCACCATCTCCCGTGAACAACTGTGGGAGGTTATGCCTGATCTCTACTTCTACAGAGATCCTGAAGAGATTGAAAAGGAAGAGCAGGCTGCTGCTGAAAAAGCTGTGACCAAAGAAGAATTTCAGGGTGAATGGACTGCTCCAGCTCCTGAGTTCACTGCTACTCAGCCTGAGGTTGCAGACTGGTCTGAAGGTGTGCAGGTGCCCTCTGTGCCAATTCAGCGGTTTCCTACTAAAGACTAGAGTGCTCAGCCTGCCACAGAAGACTGGTCTGCAGCTCCCACTGCTCAGGTCACTGAATGGGTAGGGATAACCACTGAGTGATCTTAAGCTCTTAAGCAACACAGGCTCTTAAGCAACACAGAAATAAGGTTGGCGGAAAATAAACTTGTTTCTAAGGGAAAAAAATTTTTTTTAAAAGAGAAAAAAAGTCAATTAACTAAATGAGCAAGAAACTGTCAAAAAAGTTCATATCGAGTTAGTGCTATGGAAGACAATAAAGTACCCCAGGAGAAGATGGGATGCCAAGGCAGTTGGTGGGTCACTATTTACACAGTGTGGCCCAGGAGGGCCTCCCCGGGGGAAATATGCAAGAAGAGACCTGAAGGAAACAAGAAAACAAGTCACGATGCCCAGGGACAGTTCTTTAGGCAGATGGCTTTGTATGTGTTATCCCATTTAGTCCACATGATAGCCCAAGGGGCAGCCTCCAGAACCATCACTATTTTACAAGAGACTGCATTTTTCAAGGAAGGCCACAGCAATATTCCCGGTCCTGTGTGCTCATGGAAACCCTGTAACCCCTCCCACCAAGAGGCAGGGGCTCTGCTCCTTCCCCTTAGGATCTGGGTGGGGCTTGTGACACTACCACCAATAGGGGACTGGTAGAAGTGACAATGCGAAGCTCCCAAGTCTGGGTCATAAAAAAGTGACAATTTGCAGCTGGCTGGTTTGCTCAGGATGCTTAGCCGTGGAACCCAGTTTCCATCCTCTGAGGTGGCCTGGGACAGCCCAGACAGAGAAGTCACGTGGAGAGCCCCACTGGGGAGGAACTGAGGCCCCCAGCCAACAGCCAGCATCAGCTGCTGGATTGGGAATGAGCAAATCTTCAGATAATTTAAATCCTGGCCTTGGAGTCTTCCTGATGAGGCCCCAAACATCATGGAGCAGAGCCAGGCCATTCCCAGGTCATTCGGTCTGTGCTTGCTCTGAATTCCTGACCACAAAATTCATGAGCATGACAAATGCTTGCTTTACACCATGGAACTGTGGAATAATTTGTTCTGTAGACAAAGTAACTGAAACAGGGAGCCCCCAAAGCAAAGAGATGAAGTCACCTACTTACTACTTAACAACAGCACCCATTTCATGTGTGCTCAACAGGGGCAGATCCTTGTGCTAAGTTCTCAGCAAGTATGTTCTCCAGAATCTTTACAACCACCCTCCAAGGTGAGAATGGTTCTCCCTTTTGGGAGATGTGGAAACAGAGGATCAGAGAGAGAAAAGGACTTGCCCAAGGTCACACAGCTCTTAAGTGGCACAGCCAGACATATTTTAATCTTTCTCTCATCTCTATGAGGCAGGGAAATCAGCCGATCTTTGAAACCCACAAACTGATGCTCAAAGGGGTGAGACGACTCCCTCCCACAGGCCAGATTCCACTCACCTAGAAAGTGGTGGGGACAGAACTCAAAGCCAGAACTCTAAAGCCCATGTTCATAACTTGGTGCCAATTTATAAAATGAAAATGAAAAACCAGACTGGGTTCTTGGGGTTGCAGGTGAGAACATTCTTGTAGCATTTTTTTTTTTAAATCTGGAAGCTGATATGGAATGTGGAATTGGGCCAGGAGATATACTGGGTTGTTGAGCCATGTGCCCCCAAGCTGACATCTGGTCAGACACTTGGTCTAGGCCACTATTTTTCCCTTGTGCTACTGTAGTAGCCTCCTAACTAGACTTCCCGCTGCTACCCTTGTCCTTACTGTCTATTCTCAATACAGCAGCTAGAGGGGTCCATTTAAAATCTAAGTCAGAGCCGGGTATGTGGCTCACACCTGCAATCCTAGTACTTGGGGAGCTAAGGCAAGAGGACTGCCTGAGCCTACGGGTTCAAGACCACCCTGGGCAACATGACGAGATCTTGTCTCTACAATAAATCAAAAAAATTATGATGGGCATGGTGGAGCACGCCTGTAGTTCTAGCTACTTGCAAGGCTGAAGTGGAATCGCCTAAGCCCAGCAGATCGAAGCTGCAGTGGCCGTGAAGTGTGTCACTGTACTTGAGCCTGGGTGATAGAGTAAGACTCCGGCTCAAAAATTAAAAATAAATAAATAAATAATAAAAACTAAAAAATAAGCCGGGCTTGGTGACTCAGCCTGTAATCCCGCGCTTTTGGGAGGCTGAGGAGGGTGGATTGCCTGAGCCCACGGGTTTGAGACCCGCCTGGGCAGGCGAGACCTCATCTCTACAATAAATCAAAAAATTAGCTGGGCGTGGTAGCACGCACCTGTAATTCCAGCTACTAGGAAGGCTGAGGCGGAAGGATCGCCGGAGCCCAGCAGGTCGAGGTTGTGGTGGCCGGGAGCGGCCACTGCACTCCAGTCTGAGCGACAGAGTGAGACTCCAACTCAAAAAAAATAAAATAAAATAAAATAAAATCAAAGTCAGATCATGTCCCTTCTCTGCTTAAAACCATGTGGCAGGGCCAGGCATGGTGGCTCATGCCTGTAATCTCAGTACTTTGAGAGGCTGAGGTGGGAGGACTGCTTGAATCCAGGAGTTTGACACCAGCCTGGGAAACATAACAAGACGTTGTCTCTACAAAATATTAAAAAATAAGCCGGGCATGGTGGCCCATCCCTGTAGTCCTATCCTCAGGAGGCTGAGGCAGGAGGATCGCTTGAGCCCAGGCATTTGAGACCAATCTAGGCAACACAGCGAGACCTCGTCTCTACAAAAAACAAAGAAAAAACCATATGGCAGATTCAATTTCAGAGTAAAAGTCAACATTCTTACTGTGGCCCATAAGGCTCTATGTGGCCCCCTATTCCCTGTCCCTCTCTGATGTCTCCCACCATCTCTCTTTTGCTCTCTCTGAGCCAGCCATACAGACCTCTTCGCTTTTTCCCAAACGTGGCAAGAACGTTTCTGCCTCAGGACCCTTGCATGTGTTCTCACCTCTGCCTAGAATGCTCTCCCCTCAAAGCGTCCACAGATCACTCCCTCATCACTCTCTTCAGGTCTCTATTCAGATGTCACCTTCTCAGAGCGACCTCCTTAGACGCTGTTTTATTAGTAGCGCATTCTGCCCCCCTTGCCTTGCTTGACTTCTCTTCACAGCACGTGTTCCCTCTAACACAATCTAACTCACTGTTTAGCACTGACTCCCTTTACTTGAATGTAAGGTTCAGGATGGCAGGGACTTTTGTCTGCTTTGTTCACCATAGCACGCCCAGAGCTTCAAACAGGCCTGGCACAGAGCAAATGCATGATCTGTGCTTGTTGAGTGAATAAATGTCTCCTTTGCAGAAGGAAACCTGCCAAGAATCCAAGAGAGTCCCTCACCCATGTTGGCACATATTCATCCTGCAGGCAAGCCTAGACAGTGAGCTGAAACTCACCGTGTAAGGCTGGATTTAGCTGGGTTATCTTTAAAGAAAAGATATGCTAGCCAGGCGTGGTGGGTCATGCCTGTAATCCCAGCACTTTGGGAGGCCGAGGCAAGAGGATTAGCTGAATTTAGGGGTTCAAGACCAGCCTGAGCAACATGGCGAGACCTCGTCTCTACAACAACAACAACAAAAGGTTAGCCGGGCATGGTGGTACATGCCTGAGGTTCCAGCTACTTGGAATACTAAGGTGGAAGGATTGCCTGAACCCAGCAGGTTGGGCGACAGAGTAAGACTGACTCCAAAACAAAAAAAAATCTGACACTTAGAAGCAGAGCAGTGTAGGGGTTAAAAGTGTAGACTTGGGATATAATCTACCGGGGTTTGGATCCTGATTCTACCACTACTGTGTGACATTTTTTTTTTTTTGAGTTGGAGTCTCACTCTGTCACCCAGGCTGGAGTGCAGTGGCACATTCATGGCCACCACAGCCTTGACCTGCTGGGCTTACGTAATCCTTCCGCCTCAGCTTTCCAAGTAGCTGGAACTACAGGCACATGCTACCATGCCAGATTATTTTTTTATTTATTGTAGAGACAAGGTCTCGCCAAGTTGCCCGGGCTGGTCTCAAACCCGTGGGCTCCAGCAATCCACTCACCTCAGCCTCCCAAAGTGCTGGGATTACAGGTTGAGCCACTGTGACTGACCATGTGACTTTAACACTTCTGTGCCTGTTCTTCCATTTGTAAACGGAGAACAACAGCATTTACTGGTTGAATTTTGAAGTTTAAGGTCTCTGACACATACTGTACATTTGATTAAGATGAGCTCTTCCTATGATTTTATCTCACTACTTGTTAGCCAGGTGGCCCAAGCCAGTTAATTCCTGCCTCAGAACCTTCGTACCTGTAGTTCCCTTGGCTAGGTATGTGCTTCCCACCACTTTCCCCTGAGTTCTCCCCTGATCACTGTATAAGAACTGCATCCCCATCCCTACTTTCTCTCCTCCTTTCCTCCTTTATTTTGTTTCCTTAGCAGTTAGCACATCAAACAGAGCTTCCCAATTCTTCATACTAAGCACCAGGCACCAGGTGTGTTTTTGAAGTACAGAATTTTGAAGACTTTTGAAAATGTCTAGATTTAGGCAGTAATCCCAGCACTCTGGGAGGCCAAGGTAGGAGGATCACTTGAGGCCATGAGTTCAAGACCAGCCTAGGCAACATAGCAAGACGCCCATCTCTACCTCCCCCCAAAAAGCAGATTTTAGAATATACTACATATTACACCACTAGTGGAGTCTAGGGGCTGCTCCCATAATCAAGTGCATGATTTGTGCAGCAAAATCTTCAAAGATTACAAAGAGCCACATAGCAGTTCAGGATGTGTTGCCAGCAAACGAGTTCAAAGCCAGGTGAAGCTGGGCCACCAAGTAAGTTGCAAAACAATAAAAAAAGAAAACTTTCCAGGATTATGGACCTGTAAATATTTTTATAATTTACTTCTTTGCTGTGGTTAGTGCCTGGAATCCCTAACATTGAAATTAGCATTGAGATGCAAACAAGCCGGGCAGGATTTCTGTTCTAGACACCCATCACCTGAGCTCAGAACTGTGCCAACGTAGAACGAACAGCAGCGTCTGTTGCACACCGCCTTACAGATGGTAAACCCTCGATCCACGCAGACGGAAAAAAGAAAGGCGTCTCAGAGCGCCGAAGTCGCCCATCCAAAGCCACGTGGTCAGTTCACGACTTAAACCAAGGCTCCAACCCTCAGTCTTTAGGGTTCATTCATCCAGTTATGTTACTTATCCAAACATCTGCTGAGTGTCAGCTCCTCTACTGTGTTCTCCCCAGAAGGTGCGGGACACAGTTCAGCAAAACGGCTGAATGAAGGCTAGAGTCCTACCCAGCGCCGGACCGGCGGCTGCCAAGGTAACAGAGACTCCCTTCGGTCCCGTCCTCCCCGGAAACCAGGGATGACGTAACGGCCAAGGCGGGGCGCGTCTGACAAACGCCCCATAAGCCCCGCCCATCCCGCCTTAGCCCCGCCCAGCGCCAACAGCCAAAAGGAACGCCGGACGCTCAAGGGTTGGACGGTGAGCCCCGCGACCGGGAGCCGCCCTCATCCCGGCCCCCCACCTCCGCAACCGCGGAGACTCCGCCTCCCATAAAGGGTCTTGTTGACGTCACAGGCACCGGGCCGAGCTAGGGCTAGAATACCGAAAGACCTCCCACGGCTCCGCCTTGCCTTCCCCTCACCTCTGTACTTGGGGGGAGGGGACTTGGGGTTCCTGCGGCCAGACCCGCGGATCCTCCGCAGGACTACGGTTACGGTTACAGGGACTCACCTTCTCAGTTGCCCCTCGGAAACTTCCGCTGGGCGGAAAGTGCTGCGCGCGCATCCTCGCCCTAAGGCCGGACTCGCCCGCGCAGGCGCGGCCGACTTCCCGCCAGCCCCTCCGTATGGTGGCTCCTATCTGGGAACTCCATTTCCCAGACGTCTTCGCGGCAGGCCAGTCCTGGCTCGGGATCCGGGGAGGGATTATTTCCTCATTGCCCATCCCTCCCCATTCCAACCTATTTGGAACGCTTGCGTCACTTTGGAGCCAATGGGAACGAACGAGGGGGGGGGGCATCTCTCCACCAATCAGAGGTCACACGATCATTCTGTCTCCTCGACTCCGCCCCTTACTTCCGCGCGTCTTTTCTGGAATCGCAACTTCTCCCTTAATGCGTTTCCATGGCAACCCACGGATTGTCACCTTCAGTAATGGAAGCGCCTCCCCGTCTCCTAGAAAAGGCAGGAGAAGGTTGATTAGACGGTCCCTATAACAGAGTAAAAAATGGACTACGAAACCCTGACGCCGCAGGGTCCTAATCGTGTTTTTACTCTATTTCCCAGAGGGCTCGGCGGGGGTCTCCAAGGGCGGAGCCGCGACTGATGGAGACAGGAAGGTAAAGGAAGGAGGCCGCACAGCCCTCTGGGAAACAGAGTCCCGTCGCTGGCGCGGAGGCTCCTGGGTGGGGGCGTGGCTGCGAGAAGATTTGCGCGGCACCGGAAGTTGCCGTGAGGAGACGCGTGGGAGTGGAGTGGGACCTTCCGCTCCCTCAGGGCTGGGGTCGCGTCTGTTAACGCGGCCGACGGCAATCTCGAGGTACGGAGACGCCGGGACTGGGGTCTCCGAGGACCCTCCGGGGCTTGTGGGGGCCGGGATGCTCGGGGGAGGTGGCGGCCTCGTTCTCCGCCTGGGATGAAACCGCGCGAGTGGTTTGCGGACTTCCCGGGCAGCCCTGCGAGGGACGACTCTTCTGGGTCGGGAAGGAAGGGCGTCAGTGACCGGGGGCGGGCAGGCCCACGCAGCATCTTAGCGGGTGTGATGGAAATTCTTCGGGAGGTCCGAGGCTCGGTTTATCGACTACGGGATTTGCGCGTCTGTGTGCCCAGCGCCGCGCGGTGCTCGCGTGGTCTCTTCTTTAAAAAAACGGAAAGGAAAGAAAATTATTTATTTCTGAGCCGGAGTCTCACTCTGTCTCCCAGGCTTGAGTGCAGTGTCACGATCACGGCTCACCGCAGCCTCGAACTCCCGGGCCGCTGCACTCCAACCCGGGCGACAGAGTGAGACCCTGACTTAGAAAAAAAGAAAGAAAAAAAAAGTTAGTCAGAGTCGCCCAAGCTGGAGTGAAGTGGCGTGATGATGGCTTACCGCAGCCTCGACCTCCTGGGCTCAGATGATCCTCCCGCCTCAGCCTCCCGAGTAGTTGGGACTACAGGTTGTGCCACCAGATCTGGCTAATTTTGTGTGTGTGTGTGGAGGCCCATGCCCAGCTTGTACTGTCAATTTAGAATAAAGTTCTGGCTTTCAGAGCCTTTTGGTTTTTGGAATTGCAGACAAGGGACTGTGAATCTGTTGTGTTTATGCTGCATTTTGTACCTGTGGAGAATGAGGCACAGAGAAGGTAAATGATTAGGCCATGGTCCCTCATTAAGAAATGGCAAGAAGCTGGGCTCCGTGGCTCAGCCTGTAATCCCGCCCCTTTGGGAGGCTGATGTGAGTGGATTGCCTGAGCTCGGGGGTTCGAGACCCGCCTGGGCAACTTGGCGAGACCTCATCTCTACAACAACAACAACAAAAATCAGTTGGGCGTGGTAGTGTATGCCTGTAATTCCGCCTACCTGGAAGGCTGAGGTGGAAGGATCGCCAGAGCCCAGCAGGTCGAGGCTGCAGTGGCCGGGAGCGGCCACTGCACTGCAGTCTGGGCGACAGAGTGAGACTCCAACTCAAAAAAAGAAGTGGCAAGAAGCTGGGCACAGTGGCTCACACTTATAATCCCAGTACTTTGAGAGGCCGAGGTGAGAGGGTTGCCTGAGCCCACGGGTTCGAGACCAGCCTGGGCAACTTGGTGAGACCTCATCTCTACAGTAAATCAAAAAATTATCTGTGCATGGTGGCATGTGCTTGTAGTTCCAGCTACTTGGGCAACTGAGGCGGAAGGATCACCTGAGCCCAACAAGTCAAGACTGTGGTGGTCATGAGCGTGCTGCTGCACTCCAGCCTGAGTGACAGAGTCAGACTCTTACTCAAAAAATAAAAATAAAATTAAAAAAAGAAGTGGCAAGATTCCTGAACTCGAGGGCTCAAGGTTTCTCAGCCTCGTGATTATTTGGTTTAAGTCACTCTGACAGGCTGGGTGACCTTGGGCTTCCCCTCTGGGCCCCCGTTTCTTCCCTCTGAGGGCCGAGAGTGTGTGAGATGTGGACAGAATGTGACTTGGAAACTCTAGACAGAAGTCTCAAACTCAGATGTGAGAGCCAGGCAGGTGAGATCCAGGAAGGGTGGGGACTGCCCATGTGAGGCTGTGGAGCCATAGGGCACACTTGCCCTGTCTAAAATGGAGAGCTTTAAATGGGCTCAGTGAACTGGCTTTGTGGGTCTGCAGACCCATGCTGAGTTTCCCAAAAGCTGGAAATCTAATTTTTAGGTAAAATTTCCCAGTTTTCAAGTTTGGGACCACTTAATGAGTTTTCTTTCAAAACATTCTGTCTGCTAACATTGTGAGCCAAATAAACATCTGTCAGCTGAGTTATACTCATAGGTCAAGACTTAACCGCTGGAGAAACTCATTGCTTAGTAAACATTAATTTTTATTATAGGTCTATTATCGGCCCTTGCCTGCAGTGGCAAAAGTCTAGAAAGCTCTGAAAAATAAATGTTTGGGTTTTTTTGTTGTTGTTGTTTTTGTTTTTGTAAATTTGGTGTCTATACCTTACCTGAACTGCTACAGGGTATTTGTGATCTTTGATTAATCTGTCTAGGATGAATATTTATACCTTTCTTTCTAGAAACCTTAAGGTGTTCGATTACAAAACGTTGCCTGCTCCACATTACCCTGGGATTTTTAATGAAATGTGTTGTATGTGTGCTATATCACCTTTTTAAAATGTGAAAATTTCTGAATTTCTTTTTTGAGTTGGAGTCTCACTGTCATCCAGGCTGGAGGGCAGTGGCACGCTCTTGGCCACCACAGCCTCAACCTGCTGGGCTCAGGTGATCCTTCCATTTCAGCCTTCCAAGTAGTTGGAACTACAGGTGCGCACTACCATGGCCGGCTAATTTTATGATTTATTGTAGAGATGAGGTCTTGCCAAGTTGCTCAGGCTGGTCTCGAACCTGTGGGGTCATGCAGTCCTCTCACCTTGGCCTCCCAAAGTGCTGGGATTATAGGTGTGAGCTACCATACCCGGCCCAATTTCTGAATTTCAAAGCACATCTGATCTCAGAGTTTTAAGAATCTGTGGACTTATGTCATGGTGTTGTTTTGTGATGTAGAATATTCCTGCCTTCCAAGTAGCTGGAACTATAGGCATATACCACCATGTCTAGCTGATTTTTACAAAAAATTTATTGTAGAGATGAGATCTTCCCAAATTGTCCAGGCTGGTCTCAAACCTCTAGGCTCAGGCAATCCGCTTGCCTCAGCCTCCTAAAGTGCTGGGATTACAGGTGTGAGCCACTGTGCCCAGCCAACAAATACTTTAAATGTACCTGCTGTACACCAGCCACCATGCTGGTGCTGAGACACAGCAGAGAACGAGCCAGAAGCTCCCACCGAGGCTGTAGACTCATCACCTAGTCTCACAAGTATGCTTTCCCTGACTATGTAAAACACTGAGAATGGTTGCCAAGTTGCTCTGTAGGTTGTGAGGCTTGGTGGAAATTTGGGGCTGGTGCAGTTTCAGTAAATGGTATTGTTGTGATTCCTGCAGGAAGACTGCCGTTGAGATTCATCCTTCTACTTCTGGACATTTTGGGGGCTCATCCAGCATGGCCAGGGAGGCAGCCCTAGGAGGAAGGGAGACTTTCTCACAGCTCCCTCGTCCTTCCCACAGCCCTGCCGGCCGGGAACATGGAGGGGAAGGAGGAGGAGCTTAAAAGAGATCACTGGGCCCCAGTTGGCTATGACTGAGGTGAGTTAAGGGTCCTTCTGTCTTAAGTGATCACCACAAAGGCAGGGAAGCTGGCCTGCCTTTGTTCTGAACTTGATGTTCGTGTTGGCTCCCAAGTGGTCTTTTTAAAGTAAAGCTCTTGCTGTCTTTCTGCTGCTCAGCACCCTTCAGAAATTCCTGCTGCTTGCAGGATATACCCCAGGCTTCTCAGCCCATTCCTCCATGATCTGGGTTTTTGCCCACCTCTCTGGCATCTTCTGCCATTTTCCTAGACACCCAGTACTCCCTTTTGGCCTGGAGGTTAAATGTTACAATTTTCAGCTTCCTGGCCTTTGCTCACACTATGCCCCCTGCTAGAATACTATGCCGTCCTTTTCTATCTGGTAATGTCGTACACTACCTCAAGACTCAGCTTAGTCCTCTCTATTCTCCCAAATAGAGTCAGCTCTTCCTTGCTCTAGCCTCCTGTATGTAACACCCCCTGCCGCCCCATGTCACACAGATCCACTCAGATGTGGTTGTTCCTGCCCTCATCTGTCAACCCCATCAGACTAGATGCTCCTCTTGGGCAGGAGCTGATTGAGATTTATTTCTGGGTCTCTAGGGCCCAAAACAGGTCCAGCACACAGGAAACCTCGTGAGGTGTTTGTGGAATGAGTGCATGTAAGCATTTCTCTACCTGGTCAATTTCTGCTCATCCTTCATGATCTAACTTGAATGTCTTCCCCTCCAGGAAGCTGGCCGCACTACCTGACCAGGCAGCAGTATATTCTGACACGCAGGAGAAATGATTATTGAATACATGCTCTGACTTTTCACTCTTCCACATAAAACTCTCTTGGGGCTCCCCAATACCATAGGGATCAAGTCTGTACTTTTGTCTTCCCACGCCCTCCATCGTGTTGACTAGGGGCTATTACCAGCTCAGTCTGGGAGTCTAAGGACAGGGAGTCCCTCCAGGCCCTCTATGATTTGGCTTCTGCCAAAAAAATCCTCTTTGGCTTATTCCTCTCAACGGGGTATGACCAGTGACCGTTTCAACTCTAAGCATCAGAAACCCTGACTTAAACCAACTTAAACAGCCAGGAGACTATGTAGATCACATAATCGATAGACCAGAGATGGGACTGGCTTGATCTGCCAATGTGATCAGGTCTCAGTTTATTGTCACCACCTCTAAGCCCCACATAGTATTGGCTCTATCTTTGATGATCTCTTTGTCCCAAATCAGCTGCCAGGGCCACGTGCTTCCTTGCCTCATTCAACTAGTATGGTGTGCCACTGTGTATGTGTGGGCTTTGTTCTTAGGGCTGGACGAGGGAACCAAGTTATGTGGTCCCTGCCCTCGTGAAGTTCACACATGAGCAGGGGGTGGGGGTGGGGGCAGACACCCCAGAATTTATTGATTAAAAATTGTGTATTCTTACATGTTTAAACTTCAGTCATCTTCAGAGTACTCTGTTTGATGCAATACACCTATCAAGATACTTTTTCCACTGTTCACAACAGTTTTTGAACTTGTCAATTTTGATGCCTTTTAGTGCTTCTGCTGTTTTTTGTTTCACCTCTCCCACATCAGCAAAATGTTTCCCTTTGACGATTTTTTTCATCAGGGAAACAAAAGGGGTCATGCTCTTTTGGGTCAAAAACTGCTGAACACTCAGTGCAGTGTGGGCAGATTGTTCATGTAAATCACCCATCATGAAATAGGCAAACATGTTGAAAGTATTCCCCCCAAAAATTCACCAGAGCTGCACACCACCTCTCATAACAATGCTAGCGGGTACACTGATGCCAGTGAGTTCCTAGAACACTTACCTAGCAGAGGAAGCTGTACTAAAAGGTACCTGCCCTCCAAAAGATAATTCTCGCTTTTTGAGTCCCCCAATATTATTTGGAGTGACAGTATATTCATTTGCTAGGGTTGCTGTAACAGAGTACCACGAAGAGGTGGCTTAAACAGCAGAAATGTGTGGTCTCGCTGTGCTGGAGGCCAGAAGTCTGAGATCACAGTATAGGTGGGGCTAGTTCCTTCTGAGGCTGGGAGGGAGAATTCGTTCCATGCCTGTCCCCTGTCTTCTGGTGGTTTACTGGCCATCTTTGGTTTTCAGTGACTTGTAGAAAGGACTTATTGATCATTCTAATCTCTGCCTTCACCTCATACAGTGTTTCTCAGTATCTTCACATCTTTCCTCAGCATGTGTTTGTCTCTGTGTTCCTATTTCCCCTTTTTATAGCAACATCAGTCATATGCGTCCTAACGACCTCAACTCCACCTCTATAAAGACCCTATTTCCAAATAAAGGCATAGTCCTTGGTACCAGGGGTGGGGATTTTATCATATCTTTCTGGAGGGTTATAATTCAACATATACTAGGCAATAAAATAGGTAAGTAGGTCACATAGAGTATAAGTGACAGTAAGAATTCTGGAGAAAGTAAGGCAGGGGAGGGGATGAGGGACCCAGATTTGCTATTTTATTTTGTGGAGGGGTTAGAGAAGGCCTTGGGAGAAGAGGCTTAGCAAAGCAATGGCGAATGCAGAGAGAGAGATTCACCTCCCCAAGGTAGGGGAGGGGGCCAAAGCCAAGAAACATGCCAGCCATAGCTCAAAGAGCCATGTGGACACACCAGAGTTTCATTATGCAATGGCCTTAAGGTTCTTATGAGACAGAGAATGGGATGAGTTTTGCCAAAGACCTGAAAAATGGAGAGCTGGGGGCACCTTGAGTGAGCCATTGGGCTCCTCCCTGACCTCAGCCCCTGAGTTACCAACAGTGTGTTGTGTTTCAGGACTTTGTGACCCTCAAGGACGTCGCCATGGACTTCACCTGTGAAGACTGGGAGCACCTGGGGCTGGACCAGGAGGGCTTGTTCTGGGACATGGCACTGGACAACTACCAGGACCTCTTCCTGCTGAGTGAGTGTTGCCTCATCCTTGGAGGCCCACTGACCCTGCTCAGTGACCACCTATGCTCCTGTCACCTGTAACCCTGGGCTCCACCCACTAGATGCAAGCAGCACTCCCTGGGTCAGTGGAATGCTGCTTTGCATCTAGTGAGCGGAATCTAGGGATACTGCCATACATCCTGCAATGTGTGGGACAGCCCCACAGCCAAGGATCAGGCCATGCCCCAAGTGTCAGTGTTGAGGCTGAGAAACCCTGTTCTGGTGTCTCCCTGCTCTTCAGCCTTCTTTCCTGCTGGTAGTTGTAGTCATTCTTCAAGCTGATGCTTCAGGGTCTTCACCTTTACTCTCCCTTCTGTCTAGGTGGCTCTTGAGGCTTCCCTTTTTAAGGACTATAAACTGTGACTCCCATTAAAACTATGTGCCTCCCTCTCCTGCTCAGCTTGTTCATCACTCCATCTAGAATGGGAGCTCTGACAGCAGGACTTGAACTGTTTTGTTCACTATCCCCAGTGGTTGGATCAGACCGTACCTGCTCTGGGGGCTCAGTGGACAGTTGCTAAGTTAATAAATGAACAAGTAGCGGGGGCTGGGTCCTGTGGTGAGTGAGCTGTTAGGACTCTCGTTCAGTCTCCAGTCACTCCATGAGGAAGTTGGATTGTCCTTCTTCTGCTGATTGTTCTGAAACCGAGGTTCAAAGAGAGGAAGTCGTCTTCCCAGCTGTGTCCAGGTCCCCAAGAGCATCCCAGGATTGATGGTACTCTTGGAGGACTCCCAGACTCAGCCTGTGGGCAGACTCATGGCTGCAATTTACTACAGTGAAAAGACACAGAGCACAGTCAGCAAAGGGAGAAGGTATCTGGGGTGAAGTCCAGGGAAGCCAGGCACAAGCTTCCAGAATTCTCTCTGTGGAGTCACACAGGTCACCCTTAATTCTCCCAGCTGTGAAGTGTGACAACACTGGTGAAATGCTGTCTGCCAGGGAATCTCATCAGATACCAGTGCCAGGGTTTTTCTTAGGAGCTAGTCATGTGGCCCCCTCTAACTGGCAAACACCAAAATTCCAGACTCCCAGAAGGAAAGCAGGTATTCAGTGTTGACCACAGTGTTTGCACAGTTTAGACCTAGTGAACCCCTCTCACCAGTTCTGGGGACCAGCCCAGCAGTGTCCCTCTCAAATTCCAACCTTGCCAGCAGGCCTTTCCCAAGAGAGCATGTCACCCTTTTCTGCACGCCAGCATCATACAGTCAGCGAGTAGCAGGGCACTTAGACTCCAGCTCAGGGCTGTATATCTCTCAGACAATGTCACCTGGCTCCCCATCAGTATCACCTCATTGACATACTTCCCTTCTTTATTTCCTCAGTTTTTTCTTTTCCAAGAAACAGAAGAATAATTTACTCCAAATGATGAAAAAATAAAATATTGCACACTATCATCTGATAAAATTTCATCACATCCGAGCACATTTTCCCCAAACTGTAGACAGTGTGCTGCAGAAGCTTCTTCTGGGAGGTCCTGTCTCAGTGTCTGTTCCATTTTTAAATTACAACTCACAGTCAGAAATGTACTTATCTCGACTTCCCCTTCACACATTTGTGTGTGTGTATATATATATATATATATATAAATAGCGTGTTCATTTCCTATTGCTGCTCTTACAAATACCACAAACAATACATTATGTTACAGTCCTGAAGGTCATGAGTTCAAAATGGGTCTGACTGATCTAAAGTCAAGGTGTCGGCAGGACGGTGTTCCTTCCTGAGGCTCCAGGAGATCCATCTTTCCTTGTCCATGTCCAGCTTCTAGAAGCCGCCTATGTTGCTCATGGCTCCTTCCTCCATTTCCAAAACCAGCAATGGTGTGTTCTTTACCGTAGCACATCCCCCTCAGGGTAATGACTCTGCTCTCTTCCTTGAGGAAGTTTGTGAAAGGCAGGGCTTAGTACTGCTGGGACTCTGAGACTCCAACATCTTCTGTAGGGCCTGGCCCATGAATGCCTCAGGCAATATGTGACCCATGGGTATATGAGTGAATCATCACTCTGATTGCCCTGGACTGTGACTGTCTGAGTCCCTCTCCTTCACTGCACTGGGAACCCTATAGGACTGGCATCTCCAGCGTTACAAAGTACAGCATTTGGCCCACAGGAACTGTTTGCCAAATAAAGCATCAGAAAGTTAGGAGAGACCGGGTGTGGTGGCTTCCATCTGTAATCTCAACATTTAGGGAGGCTAAGGCAAGAAGATAGCCTGAGCCCTAAGAGTTCGAGATCAGCCTAGGGAACTAGTGAGACCTTGCCTTGACAAAAATCAGAAAACAAGTGTGGTGTAGTGGCACATGCCTCTAGTTCTGTAGTTCCCACTATTCAGGAGGCTAAGGTGGAAGGATTGCCTGAGCCCAGGAGGTTGAGGCTGTGTTGAGCCGTGATCGTGCCCCTGTACTCCAGCCTGGGTGACAGAGTGAGACCCCAACTCAAAAAGAAAGAAGGAAAAGTCAGGAGAGCCAAAAGGTTCTCACTGAACATCTGGCTGGCCCTCCATGTCCTGGTTGGATGACAGTGCTCTTCTCTCCCTGCAGACCCCTCAAAACCCAATCTGACCTCCCACCCAGATGACAGAGAAGAGCTGGAGGCCTTGGTGAGAGGAAGCCCAGAAGCAACCCCTGGTGAGTGGGTGGGGAGGGGCCCTTTGTCTACCCTCCATCCTCTAGCCCTCCATCCAGATGCTGCAACCAACCCTCCAGCAGACCTACCTAGACATTTCAACACTCGACTTCTGAGCGTCACTCTGCCACTTGTTGGCTGCCATCCCCTCTCTCATTCTGGCATTCCTACCATGTTTTCAGCCACCTTGGCCTCCAGCATGGGGCTGTCCTGATGCCTCTCCTCTTTCCTTCCACATTGAGCAAGGGAGACCTTTTGCTCCCTGAGTTGGTCTCTGTACTCCTGCTTGTGGCCCTGAGCATGTTGATACCCTAGTCTACCTCTTTTCATCTCCCTTTGTACAGGCCTGTCCCTCTTTCTTGGCCCTGGGGCACAAGAGGTGTCCACACCGGGGAGTAACTCAAGCTCAGGCCTGAATGCTTCTGAGAATTTCTGCTCTGCCATCTCCCAGGCCCAAGTTCCTCCAGGTGGATCAGGTTAGGTGGTGAGGATTCCTGGGGTATGACCTCTGGTAGAGATGTCCCCGTGGGAGAAAGCAGAGGCAGCTGACTTGCCTAGAGGCTTCTCTCACTGTTACTTTTTTCTTTTTTTGTGTGAATCAGTGTCTCACTCTGTCGTCCAGGCTGGAGTGCAGTGACATGCTCACAACCACCGCAGCCTCTACCTGCTGGGATCAGATGATCCTTCTGCCTCAGCCTTCCAAGTAGCTGGGAACTACAGGCATGTGCCACCATGCCCAGCTAATTTTTCTTGATTTATTGTAGAGATGATGTCTCACCAAGTTACACAGGCTGGCCTTGAATCCCTGGGCTCAGGCAGTCCTCTTGCCTTGGCCTCCCAAAGTGCTGGGATTACAGTCATGAGACACCACACCTCCCCTCTCATTGTTACTTTATTACATGAGAAGAAGGGTCCTGAACCAGAGACCACAGAAGTTCAGGCATCTCCCTACCCAGACAGTCTGCAGCTCCCTTCTTGGCTCACCACCTTGAACTCGTGAATGTGAATCCTCTGTAGCCTCTTCTTCAGCACACCATCATTTCTTGTAGGTGACTGACCCAGGTGCAGGCTCCCACAATTCTGCTTTCTGTTTCTGCTACCTCAATGTATTGGCTGTTTCCAAGCTTAGGCAACCCTGCCTTTACCAACAGCCAAATCTGTGTAATCTCTTCTCCAATAGTAACACTTGTGTTGCAGAGTTATCATTTATGTGTGTCTTTCAGTCTTCAACAGGGTACTTCTCTGGTTGGTAGAGCTTAGCTGATTCATCCCATATTCCCAGCTCCCAACACCACACTCAGCATGTAAGAGGTGCCTGTCATACGTCAATCATTGTATTCCAGGCAGGGGAACTGCATAAGCAGAGGTGTGGTGAAGAGAACAAGCCATATATCAGTGAGAGATAAGAGCAGAAGTGAGGGTGACAGTTCTGGGCAAGATGTGGGTTTTGTTTGCAAGTTCCGGTTGCAGGTTGAGAGGTGTTAAGCAGTCTCAAAGATACTCAGCAGATGGTGATCCCAGAAACTGCAGAAGGAACAGACTTGAAAAGTATGATGACAGTGTGAGATGCAGAAGAGAGAAGGGAAGCCTGGCAGTGCAGAGCAGACCAGTGAAGTTCATGTTTTGTGAAGGGTCCCAGAAAGCATACAGCTTGGAAGCTAAGAGTATAGGATTAGAGGGGTTCAAAGCCTCGCTCTACTGCTTACTGACCTGTAAGAGAAGAGAAGCAACCCCACCTTTAGGGGATGTGGGGAGTAACCATGTGTGTCTGAGGTGCTCCTGCCAGGAGTAAGCATACCACGAGTGAGAGTTACTCTATCCTGTGAGCCTTTCCTATGGCTGCCCCTGTGGCAGCCCTGAAGACACAAATGAGCAGTGGAGAGTCCTGTCAAAGAGCTTGCCTTAGCCAGGCTCGGTGGCTCAGCCTGTAAATCCCGCGCCTTTGGGAGGCTGAGGTGAGTGGATTGCCTGAGCCTGCGGGGTTGAG